CCCAGAGACTTTCATGTCATGTGATTGTAAGCTGTTTATCAAGATTACATGCAAAACTGTTTTTATATTCATGAAAGCAAAATGATGCAGTTGTTTGGTATGTGCTGTTTTAAATCATAATTTAAAAAAAAAGATGAATAATTTGAAAATGTATCCCTAGACATTTCATTTGTGTGATCATGAGCCCAAGGTTGAAAAACATCTAAAGGCCTTGAAAGCCTCAGAATCAATGGTCACACAGGTGAATCCTCTGTTTAGGAACAACCTACGCCAACGCCACAAAGAACATCAGGATTCGATTAGGAACCAGTTATCAACAATTCTATGCCTTAGATCAGTGGTTCCCAAACTTTCTCTGCTTGTCCCCACTTTGGTTCATAAATGTTTTTAGCAACGCTGACCCAAAAACCCAGCCGGCATTTATGTACCTTAAACCTGTTCATTTGATGCTAGCATTACCAACTTTGGTCAGTTGGCAGGAGTGAGACTTTGAGTGTGGGGAGGGGGATTGGCGCACTGCACGGGGTTTGCACTGTCGCTCCGAGCAGATCGAAACGGGTGAGAGTGGAAATAAAAACAAGAATTAAAAATAACGGCCTCCTTTCGAATATTATTATCGGATATTCATTTTACACTGCCTTCAACCGATCAGTTTTTTGTCAGTCTCTTGTTAAAGAGTTACAGCATTGGACAATATGCTGCATTACGATTTACAGCATTGGATAATACGCTGCATTACCTTTCTCTTCTTCATTTGATCTGCCCTTCACTTTAGGAACCTCTTCCTTAGATGATGCAACATGTATCCAGTTGGTGGGAAGGGGTTCACAAGCTTCAGGACAGACGAATGAAGTTAATGTCGGACTCTTAAAAAAATTGAAAAAAATAATCGAAGAGCATTTGTTTCCTCGTGTTAGCTAACCCTGTCAATTCGAAAATAAGTAACACATTAGAACAGGTGTGGGCAAACTTTTTGACTCGCGGGCCAGAATTGTCCTAAAATTAAACAGGGGGTCGGGTCAGGAGCAGATAGACGGAGCGTTCGTGTGAACTAAGATAGAAGATGTGGGAAAGCCATGCATAAAGGGTAAAATGCTAAAAAAAAATGTACGCCATCTATTGGGGAAATGTGGGTATCGCAGGGAAAAAGCAGAATTATTATGATAATATGAACAAATTATATAATTTGGAAAATTTTGGCGGACCGGATTAAAAAGGCTGAACGGGCCACATCCGGCCCCCGGGTCTTAGTTTGCCCATGTTTGGATTAAAAGTTAGTGATAAACGGCAACAGTGGCTAGAAACTGCGATCACTCATTTTTACTCTACGGACTGAGTGTCTGGTGACATTTGTATTTTTGTTTCCATCTGAATTTCACTGTTCATCAAAGTTGGCCAGACCCAGAACCTTATAGTCTGGGTACTAGATTCTGCTGTGTGTTGGTGGGCAGTCGGCTTCAGTTAAAGTGCAGAGATCAGCAGAATCTGTTACTTCGGAAGTGATTGTGACTTTAGTTCTCGGGAGCATGTGGTGAGCAGCTGACCGGATTAAATCCGCCCTCCACCCTCTGATAAAGCTGTAATAAGGTGTATTGTCCTGCAGCTGGGACCACTGAGGGGCCTCAGCTTAAGCCCACCCACCTCTGTGCATAATTTCATAGATGGTTACAATTACATTAATGACATTTTTCATCAGGAGTGTTTATGCAGAGAGGGAAGGCCGAACTTCAAACCTTGGTTTTTATTTTTCACACACTATATTTTTTCTTTTAGCTCTTAACCTTTGCTCCCACACCACGCTTCCCTCCCTCACTTCACCCTCTTTTTAGTCTATATTTATTTCTTCCTTTCCTGGTGTGCTTGCTTTATGCAGAGTGAGGCAAGCAAAAGCAGAGTAGGATTTACTGTTAGGGGTATGGCTTTATTTTCAACTCTCTCTCCTCCTCGCATGTACCTTTTCTTCCTCCCTCCTTCTTCTCT